CTGGGGACCCAGCCAGCAACCCAGGCATGGTCCCTTGACCAGAATCGAACCGGGGACCCTCCAGTTTGCAGGCCGACGCTCTAGCCACAGAGCCAAACCAGCCAGGGCAGGTCTGCGGCTTTTGATCACTTCCCTGCCACGTCTGGGACTTGGGACTGACCGCAGCCAGAGCCACTTCTTTCCCATAGTCTGCAAGAGGAAACCCAGCCCTGGCTGTCCCAGAGCACCAGACTCTTCTCGGCCTCCATGCAAAGAACTCTCCACTCTCCACCCTCCAAAATGCGCCTCTTCCCTCGGGCTCCATCCTCTTCCCTGTTCCTGCACAATAGATTTTTACAGCCCATTAAACTCAAAGTTTAATCACCAGCAACAGAACACGAACACTTTCCTAGAGCGAAGGAAGCGTTTAATCTACAAACTCTCCTGGAGGGGAAGAGAACTACTTCCATGCCATCCTCCTAGTACTACGAGAAAGAAAAAGCGCATCAGCTAAATTAGCAAGTCACCTGCTGCAGCGACCCACACACAGTAGGTGCTCCATGACAGTTCCCTAAGCGTAACAGCCTCCGTCTCAACACCTTTGGGAGTTGGTTGCGGCGAAGGAGCCCAGACGCCCGCCCCCACCCACACCCCCACCTCTCGCTAGCGATAACCTGGCAAAACCGAAAGACTACAAGTCCCAGGCTGCCTTGGGGCGGCGTCACGCGCCGAGAGGCTCTTTTGGGCTCCTCCAGGCGCGAGCCGCCCTGCCGATCGGCGCCTCGGGTTCCGCGAGCGCGACCCTTGCCTTGCCTCTTGAGCCTCACACATCACATGGCAGCCAGCGTGAGGGAGGTTGCTGCCCTGGCCTCGCAGATGCGCACACTGAGGCCCAGTGGAGTGAGATGCCCAGAGTCACCTGTCAGAGGGACAGGGATTCGGGTCTGCACGCCGGGCTCCCCGCACACACCCGAGCAGCTGTTGCCGGCCCAGCCTGGCCTCTCCGGGCGGGTGTCCGAGAGCTGGGAGGAGGCATGCTGGCTCATGATATAAGGTGCCCCATCCTCAGGGACCAGCAGGCCGGTGAGGGGAGGGCGCACAGGGGGCCCCGCCGCGGAGCCATGCCCACCGCACGCTAGACACCCGCCAAGCCTTACTCTCCAGAGGCGTGGAGAACGCTTGCCACTTGTTGATTAGCGAGTTGTCACATCTGAACCCGGAGGAGCTAGGGTAGAACCAAGATGTGCAAATCCTGACCTCCCAGACTCTTAATCTCTCACCAAAGGAGCCAGCCCTCTGCCCCCCAGCCCTCCACTAGCTCCCGCATCCTCCGATTTAGTAGCAGACACCTCATCTCTGCGAAAGGCTCAGGAGCCCGCTGTGGTGGCTGCAAGGAGCAGCTCCCGGGCCTGCTCCCTCAGCAAGACAGCAGTGAGGGGCTTTGGGGCAGCTCCTCCCTGGAGGTGAATCAGGTGCCAGGTGGGAGAAGGGACCCCTGTTCCCGTGGGGTCCTCCTGACCCGAGGGTGGCCCCTCTTTCTCTGCCTGCCACCACCTCAGCTCCCATCCAGACGACGAGCACCCTTTATGAGCGGGGCTTTGAGAAAATCATGAAGAAGCAGAATAAGGAGCAGGTTCCACCCCCCGCTGTGGAGCCTAAGAAACCCTCCAACAAAAAGCAGACTAAGAAGGTGGCGACCCTCACCAACCAGAACCAGAAGCAGGGCCGCTTCCGCAGCCTGGAGGAGGCACTGAGAGCTGTGAGTGCCCCTCGCCTTTGGGTGGGGGAAGGAGGAGGACCTGAGTGTGGAGGAGACGAAAAGCGGGGAGGAGGACGGGCAGCTGATAGCTGGTGGGACGCTGTTGGCGAGAGGAGGCTTTCGGGGAAGGACGGAAACCCCATCAATTAAAGTAGGTGTGGTGGGCGGAATAATGCCTCCCCCAAAGATGCCCACACAATTCCCAGAACCTGCCGATGTGTTCGGTTGCATAGCAAAGGGGACTTAGGTTGTAGATAGAATTACTGCTCTCAGGATAAGAAGGACATGAGAAGCTCGGAGGGAAACATGGATTAGTGAGAAGGGAGCCTGGAAGCCCAGAGACGCGAGGGAAGGTTAGAGAAACTGTTTCTGTTTCCTCGGCCCTGGGCGCTTCTTGCCTTTTGTTTTTTCCCCTTGAACATGTGAAGGGCCTAAGAGTACTGGTCCCGGGGCGGGGGGGGGGGGGGGAGGGTGCGT